CTTTTAAATACTCCCGAGGTAGATTAATCATTCCCTGACTCCATCTTCAACTCCGAAGGATCGAAGGAAGGACTTCTTGTGGTGCTACCTGCCCGCAACTTGCGATGGCAACTTCCTCCAAATCCAATTATAATTGCGCTTATCAAAAATAAGTTTTCGATACTTGCCGAAGGAGAGTGGCGAGAGAGAGAGAGAGAGAGCTGGAAAGGGAGTGCAGTGGAGTAGAGTCGAAATGTAGTACAGGGGAGTCGCATGAAGTGACGCCGTGTCTCTGCCAATTTCGCCAATATGGCAATTTAATCCACACAATCAGTTTAAGGCATCGCCATTTATCTCTTCACAGACTAGTCGGTGGAGGGGGGGGGATTGGGATTTCGATGGTTGTATTCCTTTTACTTTTCCCCATATTCCCCATTCATCCTGTGGTTACCCGAATGGGAATTTCGTTCCCTGTCAATTACCTCAAGTTTAATTGAAGGTGAAATTGTGTCAGAGTAGAAAAGTTGATGTGGTCAACGGTGCACCGTTCCAGGGGGCAGAACTTATCCCAATGAAAGATGATATTCGATAGAAATTAGAGGGTGGATTAATGTAGATACTAAATAGTTTGGAAGTCACTGCAGAGCTCTCCACCGATGGACTTTGAATATTAAGTACTAGCTATGATAGACCGTACTCTGAAAAGGTCTAGAAAGAGTACTCCTGCCCCTGCCCCTGCTCTGATCTGAAATCAGAGAAAATAGCAAAAATAAAAACACACACATATTTAAATTAAATGTTTCAATCTTTTAGTATTTTTAATACGGCATATATTTAATCTACATGAATATAAAATACTTTAAAATATATATAAAAATTAAATTTGTTGCTTAATATATTTAACATTTATTTATATGTTTCTGGGACTTAATTTAAATATATTTGTTTGGAAAACTCGCTATTTATATTAAATATTTCATATCAAATTAAATTTCATATTTGTTTTAGTTCCAGTCAGGGGTTAAATCTATTCCTATCAATGTTTAAATCCAAGCTAAAATATTTAAATTTGTAGTGCCACTTTCCTTTGGGTGGGCCAAGGTAATAACCCATTCTTCTGGTATCCCATTTGGTTAGGTTCCATTTCTATGCAATAGATCATCAGAGCTCGGCCTCGTGCCGGCAATATTCCCGCTCTGATAAGCATAATTGGCACTTTCCTCCTTTGAAGGATCTCTGGTAATGTCTCGCTTAATTATATTCGGAATACGCATCCGGTGGCACGGGTACTGACGACTCGGGCAGAACACTTTTCATTTCATTTTAGGGCAAAATAATAATAAATTCTCTCTTAAAATTCATTTCATTAAACACTCGCCATGAGCTACTTGCCAGCCAGTGGCAGGACAAAAGACGGGGCCGTGGCAAGGAAGTCTTTTGTTTATACTCGAGTTCCGTTTGCCCCCAAAGCCAGCAGCATGCACCCCGCTGAACCCCCGCACCCTGACTTGGCCAAATTAAGCAAGCTGACAATTTTCTCTCTCTAAACTGTACAACAACTTAATGAGCCTGCATAACTTTGCGACAGCAGAGTGAGAGAGGAGAGTGGGGAGTGGGAGCAGAGTGGAAAGGAAACCAAAAGCAAAGGACCTTCCCCCAAATTCCGAGAGGGAGACAGATAAAAAAGCACGTAAACTTGGCCCGGAGGCAGCTCACTCACACAGTCTTTAGACGGCAGTCCGCAGTCCACAGTCCGCAGCCCGACGAACGGTGGCAAAAGTCATTATTCACTGTACCAGCGGCAAGGTGGCCCCTCCCACTCCGGTCTCTCCTGCTGAAAAATAATCAACTTTTACACGACTGTCACACGCTCCCCAGCCCCAGCCCCAGTCCCCATTTGCGTCCGACACTCGTTGGTGGCAAGTTTGGCGCAAAGTTTCGGGCCCAGCGTGGAGACAACTTCCGTGTTGCCGCCGGGCCAATGTTGCATATGGCCAAAGTCCTGGTCAGGCTCGGCTTCCCTTACAAATGACGCATTAATGAAGTGATTTTTCCATGGAGCATTTGAATTTTTAGATTTTCCTACTCCACCTCCAAAAGCGGAACGCGGGAGGTGAAAGCGTGACACGTTTCGGACATGGGAGGCAATTTCACGAGGGTTTTCCACCATCAAAATTGTATCTTTTTGGGCGTAGTTAAAGAGGCAGATCTTTGGTTCTCTTTTACTTTTGTTTTCGATTAAAACACAGCCGATAGCTGTCTGCTAAATGCACGATATGTCGTAATTAACTTATAGGCTTTGACGCAGACCTTTCGTTGTTTGAACGTACCCCTTGGGTCGTGTCACGCAATCATCTCCAGACGCCCCATCCAGCGCTCATTAACTTCCGCTTGAAGCTCTCGGGGGTCGGTCTCTGTGCCCCGTTCTCCATGCCCCATCCCCATTGCCGGCATCGGCCCATTCCCGGCTGTTTGTTGCTTTATGCAAATGTTTTTCTTGTTATTATTGCCCGAACGCGATTCCCGCTGATGTTGTTGTTTGTTGCTTTGGTTTTGGGTTTTGCTTTTGGTTTTATAGGAAAACACGCAAAGCAAACAGAGCAGAGCTCTCGGGCCGCTTTGCTCTGCTCTGTGTTTTCTTATATGAGAGTTTTTCCCCGCCGCAACGCTCCGGTCTGTTTGTACATATTTTAATTACGCGTCTCTGATTGGGAAACATTTTGTGGAGAGAAGAGGAGAGCAGAGCAGAGCGTTGACATTCTGCGACTCTACGACTCTGCGGCACAGCTGTCGCCATATTCGAAGCAATTTTTTGGTGACTCCAAGTCCGTGGTGGGGGGGTTGAAGGGGTGCGAAAGTGTTTGCTTTGTGGGCATCATTTTTATACCCGTACTCAAAAAAGAGTTAAGGGGTATATTAGATTTGTGGTAAAAGTGGATGTGTGTAACGCAGAGAAGGAAACGTTTCCGACCCCATAAAGTATATATATCTTGATAGCTCAATAGCCGAGCAATAGCCAGTCTGTCTGTCCGCTGCTGTCTGTCTGCTGTCTGTCTGTCTGTCTGTCTGTCTGTCTGCTCGATGAGCGCCGATCAGAAACTAAGGCTAGGGCAACCAAATTGGTTTCCAGACTCATGTGATATCCACTGCCAAGGATTGAATTCGCCCCGCCCCCTCCGCCCCCACAAGGACGAAAATGTGGCGGCTTTAAGAGTAACAGCAGACGTAAGAGCCCAACACCAGACTGCTGAACTGAATAGACGGACATAATTATGCCAGAATGAGAAATAATTTCAGTTGCTTCCCCCCCGCACACGACAACACAACTCATTTTCCTCCGCCCACACTTTACCGCGTTCAGTGCGACCAGCGGAAAGAGTAGATATCATAACACATGTTAGAGTAAATATACATTTAGATGTGATGGATAACATGTGCAAAATTAATATAATTTTTTTTATACCACAAAAAGGTTAGGGTATATTGATTGTGTAAAAGTGAGTGTGTAACGGGGGAACGTTTCGACCCCATAAAGTATATATACTTGATCCAATAGCCAAGCGATATAGCCAGCTGCTGCTGTCTGTCTGTCTGCCGCTTGTGAGCGCCGACAGGCTAGGTGGGCACCAAATTTGGTTTGACCATGTGAATCACACGGGATCCCCCGCCCCCCGCCCCCAGGACGAAAGTGGCGGCTTGCGATAAAACTAACGCAGGAGCCACGACGCCACGAAAGGGACATATATAGCCGAATGATTTTAGTTGCTTCCCCCCCCCGCACCGACACCCATTCCCCGCCCACCCCCGTTCAGTGCGGACACCCAGGGGGGTGGAGAGAACGGGATGACATGTAGGTGAGATAGTAATTTTTTTTTTATAAATACCAGGTAGTAACGACGGCGGAAGGGCCCCGACCACACGCCCGTGTTTTTGTGTGTGTGTGTGTTTTTGGAATATTTATTCTTTAAAGTGGTGTTCCCCCAATAAGCAGGACGGGGGCCACTTTCTCTGGCCACTTGAGCGTAATTGTAGCCAAGGAATTAGCATTTCTGATTGCCAATCTTGACCAGAATGGAGTGCCATACATAAATTTGTTGGATTTCATATTCATACTATTCCTGTGAGGTAATAACACAAATCAGCTCAAGCACCCACGCACATCCTTCCACACATACTTCCACATATGTATGTAGATGCGGATAAGAGACGCAGAAAAGTGTGCTACAGTCTCATATTTCGCCAACTGCTGGCGACTGAAGAGCCCGGCAACATGTTGACTTGACAGCCGCCCCCCGCCACTGTCCCGTCACGAGTTTCCAGGCAATTGACACCCTTTTTCAATCTGACACTCCAGCTGCGTGGAGGGGGGGGGGGTTAGGGGGAAAGTCAACCCTCCGTTTCGATCTGGGTCTCATCTCTCCGGCTCTATTCGAGTATAAGGGTAATTTCAATACTCGTAAATTGAGCGAGGGATATTTCTTTTTTTTTTTTGCATAACAAACACAAAATCTGATTATGTTTTCTTTTCTGTTTGAATGATGGCGGCGTGGCCTTAGTGGGGGGCGTGGACGTGGACTGGGGAAGGCATCAAAACTTCAATCAATAAATCGTTGTGCGAAAGTCATCAGCATAAATTTTCGCAGACACACAGACGACAATTAACAATCGACCCGCAATCATCATTAACAATTGCCCATAATCCACTCAACGTACAGCAAATTGCCTCGCTTTAAATTGTAAATTGTAAATATACATTTTGATGGCATTAAATGTTATTAAGTTCGCATATTTATTGTTATGGCTGTTCGTCCGTCCGTACCCCTTTGGCCTGCCTGTCTCTGTCCTTCCGATAATTGGGTGTTTGTGCGCTTAATTAAATTTTCATGCAGGTGCAATAAATGATTTCCCGAAGCGGACATCTAATTAGATTTATATTTTTTATGACCCGCTGCAGTGTGAATCGATTGTCTTTGCTCCATTCCGTCTCCCCAAGCGCCTAAGATTAAATAATTAAGACCGCGTGGAGACAGGAATTTAATGCAGGCATCCGAATGGTGGCTCTACATTTCAATTAGATTTCAACAGAATTACTTGGAATTTCTTTAATCTGACGGTCCCTCCCAGGAATGCATCTTTCCGGGTGTGGGAAGATTCTTGAAGCCGGAATCGGTCTTCTGCTCGTCACACTCGTCAGCTTTCTTGGCATCTGCTGCCTTTGGTGGCGCTGGTGGTGGAGGCGGCTTCACGGCCGGCTGGGCTGGAGGAGGCTTCACGCCCGGCTGTGCGGGAGCTGCCTTGGCCGCTGCCTGAGCTGCCGCCTTGGCCTTCGCCTTGGCTGCTATCATGTTCATTCGCTCCTGGACAACATCAATGTCCGGCTTCACGCTCCTCCGTGGATCTCTCGTGTAGTAATAGTTGCCGAACAGACGTCGAAACGGGCCTGACGGAATGTGCGGCTGGGGCTGAGTGCGCGGCGACATTGTGTCCGCGAAACGGTGGGCCGTCTTGTGCTTGCGGCCAAGCAAAAAGTCACGAATCTTGCTCAGAAACTGGGCCACATCGCGGTGCTGGGGCCTGGGAGGCATTTCCTGCGGAATTATACAGTATAAAAGTCGAAAAATTGAGAATTTAGAATTTAGTGCGTATATTGGAGATTGTTTGGAGTGACTACAGAGTCAAATGGTGCTACAGTTTCTTCCACTTCCTTCCGGTTCTTCCACACGAGTTGGTGCAACAGTTGCGGCGTCAGATTTTGATTGGTGCCACCCTCTAGATGGGTGGGTGGATGGATGGACGGATGAATGGGTGGCGAAGTGGATCAGTGGATGAGTCAATTCAATAAGCGTCAATCTCTCCACGCGCTCAGCTGTCAATCAATTTGGCAACGAAATCTGCCAGCGATGAATTTCAATTATGGCCACAGAAAAGAAACAAAACAGCAGCGGAAATCACCTCACCCCCCAACTGCAACTTGACCAGAAATGAAACATTCGCAATATCATCGCAAGACAGTGCAAAAAGTCGACTTTGGAATTAATAAAAACACTTCAATTTCCGATGCCAATCAGTGCGGAGATCCCTGTTCCTCCCACCCCATCGAACTGCCAACAAGAGTGGAGTGTGACAGGAGCACGCGTCGAGCTTTACTGTACTTAGAGTGGTTCAGCACGTTTCCTACTGACGCCCTCGCTGTCAGCCTGACAGGATAGCAGGACAGACCCATGGCCATGCCCAGGCCGAGGGCCGGAAGTCTGCTCTGTGAACATGAGCGAGAGATGTTAATCACGGACGGGACGGAGATCCTTGGAACTCCGCTCACATTTCATCAGATAAGCAGCTTGTCGAGATTTACGAAATCGAGCTGATTATGTTTTTGTGAGTGCCAGGACCTGGACCTGGACCTGAACCAGAAACTGGATGCGTACTTTCACCCATGGCCGCGTGTCAAAGGGTGAGCCGTGCCGAACGTCGCTCCTGACGTGTTTACCTTTTGGCTTTTCAGGCGGCGATTGGGGGTTGGGGGTTGTTATACTCGTGTTGTGCACAAGTGAGGGATCTGCATGGGCTATACTTATAGGAAATGCATAAATCAGCTTGACTCTCTCTTCCAATTTGATTATAATTCATGGCGCACGCGGAAATCGTTTGCGATAAGCTGAAAGAGCTAAATATCAGGTTAACATATATGGCCTGGAAGGGGGGCAAACGGAACGGGGAAAATTGATTCAATGTGTGAGAAAAAAAACTGGTTCTGGTGATGAAAACAGTTTTGTTCTGAACTGAATTGGATTGCGTTGGGTGGGGGATAAAGAGTGGGTGAGTACCAAAGATAATGGGAATTTTAAAGAATGGAAATGATTGTTAAAGAAAGCAACAAAGAAAAGCTGGGAACACATTCGGGGTGCTCTTTTATGGACACAATAAAGCATTCGATTCTGTTTTTGGTCAAAAGACAATGCGCTCACGCATTGCCTCCGTCGTTTCCTTTGTATTGAGGAAATCTTTTCGATCATAGGCTGCCTATCGAATCTGGCCCATCCGCTTACCTTTCTGTAGGTCTCACTAACCCGTTCTAGGTTATGATTATCCCCTGAAATATTCCTTTAAGTTATTGCATGTAATTTTCACTATTTTCTGGAATCATATAATTTGTAAAACTCTTTTAATATCCTTTTCTCTGAAGTTTTAAACTCCCTTACCATTATCTCTCGCCACAAGCTTTTTTTTTTCCCTTAAGATATTTTTGTGAGAGAAGATAAAATGTAAACTCTAGTTAGCGATAGATCAACAAAGCTTTGTTTTTTCTGTTTTTTTGGAAGAGCAAATGGCAATGGTAATATATGCAGAGTGCTTAGTATCTGCGAGCTCTGCAATAAAGTAAAATAAGAAGCCAGCCAAGTGGTGGCCTCCGACACCTTTTAAACGAAACTTTAAACTCCCTTCAATAGAGGGCGAATCAATATCTTTCAACTTTCCCATTTGGAAATGTACATAACACGAAATCCGAGACGAGTTCATCTACGGGTATTTACCTAAGCTGTTGCCCAAAATTTTTCACCCAGGCGTCATATTGCAGGGGCGACCTGGGAGACGGGACGAGTCGACCCAGCCACACGCACAATACATCAAACTAATTGATATAATTTTTTAAAAAAGCAGCACGAAAAAACTTTGGGGCGGAGGGTTGCTGTTGCTTTGGTTTACCTTGTTTCCATTGCTGATTGTTTTTTTTTTGTTTGTCTGCTTGGTGGAAAACTGCAGGCGCGCGGCGGGAAAACCTTTAAAGTAGAATTCGGGGGATGGCTACGATGACTAGGGGTTGGTTCAGCAGGGGGTGGTGGCACATGCGGTTGATGTGTGTTCGCCTTCTGATTGAACTAATTGACACATGTGAGAGGAGAAATCCACCAAAATATCGGTTTGGGATTTGGTAATACGAGCCAAGGCCAAGACCCGAGACCACATGAGCAGGCATGGCATGGCCTGGCCTGAACTTTCTCCCTCTCTGTCTCTTTCTCGGGTATGCTCCTCTGTTGTAATGCGATATGTCAACAGTGTCCTGGGGTCGCAGGAAAGTTTAAAAGAAGCAGCCGAAGGGAACTCCTTGTGCTGCGGCTGGATGCTGGATGTTGGAGGAGGATGAAAGTGAAAGTAGCGAAGGTCAACATCATCAAAATGTCTGTCTGTCTGTCTGGCCAGAGGACAAACATCTGAAGCAGCACACACACATGCCGCCAGGATCTCCAACAGGAGCTGGCTGCCTGCCTGCCTGCCTGCCTGACTGCTCGTCGTCGTCCCATCGTCCCATCGTCCCAACGTCCCGTCTCGTAGTGAAAATGATAATGTTAAAGTTTTACAACTTAAGTCGTCAAAGTCAAACACACTCTAGGGAAATTACAAACACATTCGAGACAGGAATGTGTAGCACGAAAGAGTCGTTGGGTGTTGGTTGTTGGGTGGCTGGCTGGTGGATGGGGAGGTCAAGAGCTGCTCGAACTTTCGGTGGGGGTCCTGGTGTGATGAAATATACTTACATTGCACATCCTTGGAAGTTTACCTGCTCCAATCTTAAGCTCCAGTATCCCTTGTTGTTTGGCTTTCAATGCTTTTACAGTGCTTCGGGGTAGAATTAGTGGCAAGCACCATCCACCCACCCATCCACCCACTGCTGCCCCCCGCCCACTAAGTACGGCCACTCACCCCCTGCCATTAGCATAAATAAACGCTTCTAAGTACGCCCCATAAAGGTGTAAATGCTCTGGTATTATTAGCCAAAGGCGAGCGAGCCAACAGACAAGAGGGAGTCCTGGACGAACCATCGCTAGAAGCTCTTTGGAGACTTTTGCTAGCGCTAAAATTTTATAGCCTCCAACGCACACACAAACACATAAAATGTGTGTTCCCCGCCCGCTCCATCACTCTGACTGCGAGTATTTCATAAAATTTTGTTACGCATCAAAATTGTGGGACTCTGGGAATGGACTCTAGGACTGGCTAGAACTTTGACTTGAACGAAGGCGTCCGACTTTTGTTTCCTTCCTGCACGGGGGAGGAATGAAATTTTATTAAATGACTCTCAGGTTCTTGGCTCCTTAAGTTGGCTATGAAATTAGCAGCGATTTTTGGCTGACTAAGCAAATGGGTCAACTTAAAGAGCGACGAGGCCACGGCAATGATCGGGAAACAAAGTTGCAGGTAAACCAAAGAGCAAACGAGTGATGCAGCTCATATTTCAGACTTAGCTACGACTCCAGGGTTAACCAAGTCCTTATCCAGTCACGGGTATCTTTTGGGGAAAAGTTTTCTCCTTGGAATACTTGAAATTGTTTTTTCGGGGGACCAAAAGTTTGCACCTCTTTGGAGCGGTGGGCGGGGAATGGGTGGGAACCTATCAATGAGTCGGTGACTCCCCCCCAAACACTCATTAAAATGTGGCAAACGTTCTGTTTATGCACCACTCCGGGAGGAGTGCTGCCCCTGCCACACTGCCACACTGCCAGACCGTCTATCTATCCATTCATTTCACTGTTAACTGAACAAAAATGTTGCGTCGTTCGTTTTATTCGTTTCATGCCCACGTTTATTGTTTTCCAAGTCATTTTCAGCATCTTATCAATTTGACTCTGAGGCACAGGCAATAAAAGAGTAACCATTGTTTACAGCCCTTCCCCCTGGAACCACACAGCCCCAGCCCCACAGCCTTTCCGTTCGTTCCTGTCATTGATAATGAAGACAGCAACAACATTGTCTTTGCCAACAGCCCAGCCCCAGCCTCAGTCTGAGCCGCACCCACTACGGCTGCCTGCCACCAGAACGTGACTCTCTTATCAATGCGATTCGTATTGCCAAGACGCAGCCGTCCTGCCTAGAGTCCTGTGAGTCCTGCCTCGCCTCGAGTCCTCCTCCGCTATCGCTGAAGCAATTAAAATTTGTAGCTATCGAAGGAGCGGAGCGGTGCGGCGCGGAGTCGAATTCGATTTCTTCTTTTGCTCGTCGTCCTTGCAAATCATTTCACAATTGCTTAAGAATGGGCACACTCTCCATCCCCATTCCCACCCCCGTCCCCTTGCTATGGGGTTGGGTATTCCTCTGTGGGTGCCCCGTCCCCCTCGCTCATTTTTCATACTGACAGCCCCCAATGGGCGTTAATTGCGTGGGTTTGGTTAAGGTTACGGCCACGCCAGATAAGCGCGCGTGATTTTTCCACGAATTCCATGCCCAACGGGCACGGCACCCCCTTCTCCATCCACCACCGTCACTCTTAGGGGTACGTCGCGGCCCTGGGGGGGATGAAATTTTGACTTGTTATTTGGCGCAATTCATACTTCTCCTCCCATTTCGATAATTTCTTAGACTTCTTCGTTTGCATTTTGCGGCCCATTCGCTGTGGCAGGCGGCGATAAGAAGAAGATGCTTCATAAGGGGGGAAGGATGGAATGGAAAGTGGGGTGTGGTATACATTTTTTTTGTTGAATTGGAAAAACGTGCAGCAAATGGCTTAATTACGTCTGAAGAGATGAACTTTGATCTTGAGTGGGTGGAAGAATGGATGGACGAGCAGCAGACGAGCAGCAGTTAGATGGTCATATATGGATGGCACGACCCCCAGGTGCAGATGCAGGTGCAGGCGACTCCTGAAGCCTACAGGCAACTGCTGCCCGTTCTGCCCGTTCTCC